TTCCCCCTTCCCTTTTTAATCTCTCCTGAAATATGGCCAATTTTAAATAATTAATTAAACCTATTTCTGTGCCACTGCAATCAAAAAGATGCTTGGCAGCTTACACAGAAAAAAAATACAATATGATAATTCAACTTTAGATTTTGTTCTTAATCAGAACAAAAGATATCTTAACAACTGTCAAAAAAAATGGCATTCATTCTTCTACAGGAAGGAGAAAACCAAATGGCATTCCTTTTCTGTTAACAGTGAGGCTAAAGCAGAAAGATTTCACAAGAGGGTTTCCTTGGCAGCAGAAATACATTAAAATATATTGAAAATACTAACATTGTAAACGTACAAGAAAAATACTATTTTGCCCCTTCAGGTTATTCCAAATTAGTTGCTCTTTTGAGATGCTGTGCCTGAAAATGTTCTTTGGCCACAGCTGAGTTCGTGATACTCCTTCCTATCAATGCCTGTATCAGCTTTCACCATCATCTCAGAAAACATGTCAATTACCCTAAATATACTAAATGAGGAAGATCCATGCTAATGTGGGTCAGCTATGCAACTAGAAAAGGTGTCACAACTTTGCCCATCACACTCAGCGCATGAGGAGTGCTCGCTGAACAATTCCCTCTACTTCCCTCTCCTTTGGATGTAGTATTAGGGTGGTACTGAAATTCAGAAGCTGCCTAGTTGAACTTAAATTCATAATAAAGGCAGAAGAGGCAGTGTTTTCAGTCTGAACATTTCCTGGTAATATTCAGCTGTGAATTCTGTTTGGTTTTAAAGAACATTTTAGAGTAATGTTTTAGATTTTAAATATTTACAATATGCCTTAAAATACTATTCATTGCTGACATTAAAAAGTGAGCATTTCAGGAGCCAATTTATGTTACCCAGAAAGCAGGGATGGGTTCCTGCCAGTTCTAATCTCTTCTATAGAAGAGCTTCCACAAATCTATAGTGCCGTTTAGAACCAGTTCCAGCTCCCTCCCCCCACCCATCTGCACATCATCAAGATGAAGAGCGAGAGGAGGAATTCTGGGAGTTGAAGTCCACAAGTCTTAAAGGTGTCAAGTTTGAACACCCTGGGGTTTTTTTCCCTAAAGGGTTAGGGATGCAAGGGTCTTGTAACTTGACAGCTTTAAGACTTGCGTGCTTCAAATGCCAGAGTTTCTGAGCCAACATTTTGGTTGCTAAGCAAGAGCGTTGTTAAGTGAGTTTCACCACATTTTACAAGTTGGCCACATCCACCCAGTCACATGGCTGGCAAGCCACTCCCACCTGGTCACATGGCCAGCAAACCACTCCCACAAAGCAGGCCACACCTACAGAAGAGTTTCTAAAAAAAATTGAAACCCACCACTGCCAGAAAGAGACATTAGAATGTTTTGCCAATCAAGTGACCTCAGTGGTAGAATATTCTTGGGTGTTTTGCACGTATAATGTATTGTTTCTGATTGAATGTAGTTGCAAGCATTCTGTGGAAAAGACATTCAAGCACATTTTAGAGGGCAGCATAATAGATTATATTTAATTTAATGTGTCTCACCTGTTATAGCCTGGCAGGCTCTTTCTATATTGCATATATGATTTCACAGGAATGTTGGCCTTGATTTTTAGTTAAATCGGCCTTTTACTGCAATTCTTCCACAAGCATGTTAACAAGTAGGCATTGCTCTGTCTGGCATAACAACTTCACCAGCAACTATGGTAAATTAAACAACCTTTAAAGGAATTCTGTGCAAATTATACAATATATGTACATTTCTATGCTTTAAAGTCCAACTTTCAATTCTATAGAATATCATAGAGAACATAGAGAAAACTATTGCCTGCATGGTTCTGATCTTTGTAGGTATAAGCATGTCACAGCATCTTAAGATCTTCATTATCATCTTTTAAGATTTTCATTACTATCTTATCAAGAGTTAGACTGTGATGTATTTCTTGGCTGATTGTTACTTTACTGTTGATAATTGATTTTAAAAGGCAGAGGGCTATCCACTCCTTTAATATATTCAATGTCATTTCCAAGGCTGGTTTCTGGACTTGTTGCCATGAATTTGGCCTTCTTTATAATAAATCATATTTTAACTGGTGCTTGAACTTCATTACTAGGACCCAGAGATCACCTTCATTTTCAATTGTGAGAATAGTGTCATCAACACAGCAAAATGTACTGGAGTTTCTTCCTCTAATTTTAACATTATACTTACCTTCTTACAATCCCATATATATTCAGCATCTAGGTTAAATAAATAAGGAAATAATATAAAGCTTTGTCTCATTCCTTCACTGACTTGGAGCCATTATGTTTTATCATGTTCTGTTTAGACTGCGGCATTCTGCCTTGTACTATATATGAGTTTTGCATGAAGACAATAAGATGTTCTGGGATTCTCATATTTCTAAGATAATCCACAGAATAACTTGGGTGACACAACTGAAAGACCTTCTATAGCCAATAAAAACACCTTGATTTGTTTTTAGTATTTGTTGGCTTTCTCATTATCCATTATATATCAAGAATGATGTAACTTGTTACCTATGAGCTGTGGTGATGCAGTGGTTAGAATGCAGCTACTTCTGCTGCCTGCTGGCTGCCTGCAGTTTAGCAGTTCAATACTCACTGGATTAAGGTTGATTCAGCCTTCCATCTTTCCAAGGTCAGTAAAATGAGGACCCGATTGTTGGAAACAATATGTTGACTCTGTAAACTGTTTAAAGAGGGCTGTAAAGCACTGTGAAGCGATGTATAAGTGTTATTGCTATTCCTTGCATCCTATAGTAAACTAGGGTGTGTTCCAAAATAGAGAAAATTTCTATTCCTTTAGGATATGTCCCTAAATATACTGTTCAATATTAAATCAGATGAGTATAAAACATTCCTTAGTGTTTAAGAAGAATGACTGCTCAGGAATTGATTTAGAACCGGAATTATTTATTGATTTATGATATTTATATGGCTGTCCAACTCAACCAAGGTGACTATATGTAGCTGTCAAATTTTTTAAAAAACCCTAACAATAATAATAATAATAATAATAATAATAATAATAATAATAATAATAATAATAATAATAAATTAAAACAATCAAATTGAGATCCAAACAGTATAACTATCATTTAATCTGGGCTCCATCAGACCCAAAAGCTGGAGAAAATTCAGGTCTTGACAGTCTTTGTAAAGGCAAGCAGGATTGGGGCCAACTCTATGCCAAGAGGAAAATTGTTCCATAAGATAAGGGCCACCATCAAGAAACACATCCTGAATTTCACCTAACAAATCTAGTAGAGTGAGTAGATACCCTGAGGATTGTATAAAAATATAAGATTAACATATTGTCCTGGGGCCCAGATGGAGGTAGCATACTAGAAACATTTAATGGACTGAGATAGGACCCTACCTCCTCTCAGTGTGCATCTTGCTCCCTTCCTTGCCATTGTTGTTGATTCTTAAATTAATTTTAGTATTAATATTTATTATTTTAATGTTGTATTCTGCTGTAGCTCCCTAGAGTTGCCTCTTGGCAAGAGTTGTGGCTATAAGTTAAATAAGTAAGTCACAAAGCAGTGAACACTGCATCTTAAGGTTTTCTGTCCACGAATAAATAAACACAAGCACAAAGCATAAGTGTCATTTCTAACTGCCTTTCCTATTTTTAAAAAATAAAATATTAATATTCTCACCAAATGACTAATTCAGAATAGAGCTGGAAGGGACCTTGAAGGTCTTCTAGTCCAACCCCACCTTCAAGCAGATGGCCCTATATCATTTCAGACAGGTGGCTGTCCAATCTCTTCTTAAAAGCCTCCCATGATGAAGCCCCCACAACTTCTGAAGGCAAGTTGTTCCACTGGTTCTTGTCTATTCTTGTCATCTTCTCATTCTTCTCATCTCATCTTCTCATCTTTCTCACCTCTTATTTCCTACTATCTTCTCCTATTGGTATACTATGATTTATCAATTGTTTGTATCTTATGATGTATGATCTATGACTTATCACTCTGTTGTTTGTATGCACACGGAGAGTTTATGCACCGGAGACAAATTCCTTGTGTCTCTAATCACACTTGGCCAATAAAGCATTGTATCCTATCTTCCAGCTTCCAAGATTGAGAAACACTGGTCTCTGCTGTAAGTATAGTAAGCAGCAGCAGCAGCAGCAAATTGCTAATCTTCGGTAGACTCCACTAGGGCTTCTTGACTTCAAAGGGGTTAAATGAGAGACTGGAAAGCAAAGCAAAACAAAGAGAGCAGAAAAAGGGAAAAACCCAAGACCCGAGTGTGTATTTTGTATTCCAGACTGAAACCTGGTCCGCCGTCAGATTTCAGCGCTTATGAATATGTCCCCCAGTTAAAACAGTCCCAGGAAGTTCCTTACATTATTCTTTAAGCAATAATTAAAATGTTCTTGATGATGCTCCTCTTTAAACTTTTAATTGGCTGGCTTAAAGATGTACCGGCCCTTGCAAGAATAGCATCAGGTAGGGATTTGTAGGTTTATTGACATCAATAGGGAAAGATAGTAAATTAGGTAGGCTGCTGGCTGTTGCTGTGAACGTGTAAAAATACACATCATTTTCATCTGGAAATGTATCTCGGTTTCTGTTAAGATTTTGTAGAAATACATGGAAGGAAAAAATCGTATCTCCCCGTCGGGGAATCGAACCCCGGTCTCCCGCGTGACAGGCGGGGATACTTACCACTATACTAACGAGGAAGTACTGATGAAAGGGTCGCTTTCTGCTCAATTAAACTGCTTTCCTTGAAGTTTCGGACTTGTAATAGGTTAATAGGTTGCTTGGTCGATATCCAATAGTTACTTGGCCGTCGTGCATCATGGGAGTAGCAGTCTAATTTCCAGTTAGTTGCATGAGAGCTGGACCTCGTGAAGAACTATAACTCCCAGAGTCCTCCTTGAGGCCAGCCACAATAAGGAGGGGACTCTCAGCCAATAAGGCGGTGCTAGGACTTCGTTAAATAGCGAGCGTAGCCCTGAGCCGCCCAGTGTGGAGCTGTGTGCTGGAGCCATGGCTGATGCGGACCCGAGTTCCTTCGCGGCTTCTGATGCCTGCCGCACTCACCATCTCTACTTGCGCTGCCGCGTGGACTTCGAAAGCCGATCGCTGCGGGGCACGGCGGCCCTCACCGTGCGGTCGGAAAGGGACAACCTGAGTTCCCTGGTAACGCCGCTCCTTCCATGGGGGGCGCTGGGGGGGGTGCGAATTGGGGAGGGGGGTTCTCTCGCGCTGTGTTGGGCTTCAGCGTTCAGAATTGCCCGGGAATTCGGGGTTCTGAAGTCGAATGAAGAAATAAAATAAACAACCTCAAACCCCTCGTATTTAATTCTCTTCTTGATGTGCCAGAAAGCTGATAAAGAGATGTTGCTCCTTAAGTAAACCTGCATTGGAGCAATTGGGTGTAATGTTTTCTTTGGCTTCTAGTTTAAGAAGTTGAATTAAAATAATGATTTCCTTACATGGGGGGCGGCGGCATGGTGTCCCTGCTACTTATTGTGTAAACGTAGAGCAGTACGTTTAGTAAAGGAGGGGTGTGTGTAGGATGACCATGCTCACACTCAAATACCATGAAAGAGTAATATAAAAATTAATGCTGTGAATGTGCTGCGCTAGCACTAATAAAATATTAAGTTTTCTTGGAAGTTGCATTTTATCTCCCGATAGCAGATGTTGCAAAAGCATAATCCTTCCAGGACTTTCTGCTAGGTCAAAGTATAGTTCTTAATGGAGGAATGGGGGGTGATCCTCCTCCTGTGGGGAATAATCTTTAGGGTGGGTCTTTGGCCAGCCCTGCTTCTGAGCTGAAAACAAAATTCCTCTCTAATTTTCTTGGAACAGACTCAGCATGACAGCTTCTGAAAGAAGCACAGCACAAAATACACATTTTACTCATGTTACTAGACTATATAAAATTCTAACCCTTTTTTCTAAAATGAGACATTCAATCCACAAAAATGTTTATCCTGGCCAAAATAAAGTGTTAAATAATTTTTTGGTAATATTGTGAAATAATGTTGCTCTTCGCAGTTTAGTTCTTTCATTAAATATGTTGAAAGTTCTTTACTAGTTTACTACCTCTTTTTATATAAAAAGGAGAAAATGGGCCAGAGAGTAGGAATGGTTATAGGCCTTATAACAAAAGCTTACACCAGTTTTAAGACTTGAGCTGATCTAACGTTACAAACAATGGAGAAATATACAGTAATGAAGTATTTTGAACTATCTTCTATGCTAAAATATTTTAATAATATTTTAAGTAAAACTTTTAAGTGTTTTAATTATCACTTCCAGAATCTTCATTCTAGAAGTGATAATTAACTTCATATTGTTACATAGAACATTTATTTGTTATGGTAACACAGATTTATTTAACAGGTTTTGGACACCAAAGACCTAACAATTCAGAAAGTGGTTGTTAACAATCAAGTGGCTCAGTTTGTTCTTGGACCACAACACAGCTTCAAAGGAGCACCACTTGAAATCACATTACCATTCCCCTTGAGGAAGTATGCATTTTTATTTTCATACATTAGTTATCTTGCTATTACCTTGATCTTAGGACTTTATATAGGTCATTATATATGACTCTGCCCTTGCTGAATAAATGATACCACAGCATTATAACTGTTGAGAGCCAGTTTGGTCTTGTGGTTAAGGCACCAGGCTAGTAACCAGAATACTGTGAGCTTTAGTCATGTCTTAGGCATAAAAACTGGCTGGGTGACTATGAACTTTCAAAGTACTTTCAGCCAACCAACCTCCCAGCATAGTTTCTGTGGAGAAGGGTGAAGTACATAGGTTTTCTGCCTTGAGTTATTTATAGAAATAATAAAGGTGGGGCAAAAATGAGTAAAATAATTCTAATACTGTAAATATTATTTGGTGGGTCACAAGATTGTATGTTATCTTTAACAGTCTTATAATTATTAAAATTTTCAAGGCTTTCTTGGCTTTCTGTTCCACAATCTCTTTGTTTTGCAATCTGGCACATCTTTCCAAAGACTTTGCTTTTGATCTTTTATTAGGAGCAATTTTTTCTTCATTAAAAAAAAAACAGTCTAGGGTAGCCACCCAGTGAGTTAGGCAGCAAATTTAACATAAATAAAAACCAAGTTTCCAGAAATAAAGTTTAAAAATTATTTTGAAAAGTAGAGAAGGAAAAGACAAATAGATAAAAAAAAATTGGTAAAGAAATCCAATTGAAAAGTGTGGATTGGGAGGCAAAAGAATAGACTTGGAAGACTGTTTTCTGAAAACTGGGGTGGTTCCCTACTTCTAAGACAGAAAGTAATTGAGGAAAACCCTCCAAAAGCAGCAGCAGGGTGAGTAATATCAGGAGAAATGCACTGCTGTACAAATTCATTTCCATAAGTTTATCTTCCAATTTTAAAATCAGGGATACTTGTTTTCTCAACACCACCCATTTGCTAATTATTCCTGTTTGTCCTTCTTGGTAATCTCCTGCTGCAGAAGAATGGATGTCAAAAGTTTTTAACCTCACCCTCTAAAGAAACTAGACAATCATACCAGAATTAAGCTGTGCCAGCAGAGAGGTGGTGGTTCATCTTCACTTCAAGAATCTTCTCATTATTGTTAGAACATTTATTTGTTAGGGTAACTCAGATTTATTTAAGAAGTTTTGGATACCAAAGACACCAATACAGAAAATGTATTGCAGTTAATTAAAATATACTATAGAAAGACTCGTGTTCTCAGAAAGTATCTGTCAATCTGGTGATTTCTGGAGCATGTTTTCTTCTTTAGTCCAAAAAGTACTACTAATTAAAAAATCAACACTGCAGGTGTGCATTATAAGAATAATACATAAGAGTAAGTTAAAGTTTAGTAGACTCACAAAAATACATTGTGGCACTTTGCCCATGTATTCAGAAGAAACAGTGCTTACATTCTCTTGTTTGTCAATAACCATTAATATATATTTGATATCTGTTCTGAGAATTTCTTAGGGATCTGATGATATAAGATTAAACTTGGTATTTGATAGGTTCATTTTGTTGTTTATTTCTTTTCAGGCAAATGGGACTCGGCAACTGACTATAATTGTTGAGCAATACATTATAAAATTATTTTGATTTGCTTTAAAAATGTAATAGACAACTGCTTCCATTAAGATACCGCATGGGTTTGTTGTTTTTTATTCTTCCAGTTGGTAACTTAAATTTTCCCCATGCTCTGTTGTGTATATGCAGTTTCTCTTGCTTTGTGGATGAACCACTAACTACTAAGGTTTTTCAACAGATATTCATCTTTGTTACAGTTGAGGTTTGAGGGATGGTTCAGGAAAGTCTTAAGTGATATTTCCAGTTTAAATATTTGAATATTTGCAGGGGCCAAGATGTAGTTGTGGAGGTCTCTTTTGAAACTTCTCCAAGGTCTTCAGCACTTCAGTGGTTCACTCCAGAGCAGACATCAGGGAAAAGACATCCATTTCTTTTTAGTCAGTGCCAGGTGAGTAGGTTGCTTTAGTGATATGTCTCATAAGTAAGCATTATTAATCTTATTGTCTGATAAAAGTCTGAGAATGCCTTAATTCCCAAATATTCATATAATGTATTTTTTGGAGTATAACCTTTTCCCCTCAAAAAAGAGGCTGAAAATCTGGGTGCGTCTTATACACTGAATACGGCATTTTTGCCTCCTGAAGCCCCGCCCCCTTCACCAGAATTGCTGTGCATAGCCTTTAGGAGGCTTTCAGGGTGCTCCTGGGGGCTGGGAAGGGCAGAAATGATGAAAAACGGGCCATTTTTGGGAGGTCTGCAGAGTGCAAAAACTTTTTTTTTAATTTGCCTGTACAAAATCTTGGTGCATCTTATACTCTGAATAATACTGCAGTATGTTGTTAATGCATCCTAATATACAGAAGATGTGCCATTAAGGGTAAAGCCATACTTGTTAGTGCTTGGTTTAACATACTTACATAAATTATATGGCTTTAAGGTAAAGGTTCCCCTCACACATATGTGCTAGTTGTTCCCGATTCTAGGGGGCAGTGCTCATCTCCATTTCAAAGCCAAAAAGGCAGCGCTGTCCGAAGAAGTCTCCATGGTTATGTGGCTGGCATGACTAAACGCTAAAGGTGCACAGAACGCTGTTACCTTCCCACCAAAAGTGGTTCCTGTTTTTCTACTTGCATTTTTGCATGCTTTCGAACTGCTAAGTTGGCAGAAGCTGGGACAAGTAACAGGAGCTCACTCTGTTATGCAGCGCTAGGAATTCGAACCAACGAACTGTCTGATCGACAAGCTCAACATCTTAGCCACTGAGCCACCACATCCCTTATTATATGGCTTTATATGTGTCTTAAATTATAATTTTACACATTCTGATTTGTATATATACTGTACAACTTTGTAATGGACACTTCACAGCACAGTCATTTTTGACACTGCTTATGACTCGGGAACGTACAAATGTATGGCATGCATTTTTGTACCGTTAATGAACTACTTCCCATGTTCCTGCCAAATTTCAGATTGCCTAAGAACATAAAAGTTTAGAAAGGAGTCTATTGAATGAGACGCAATAAAGTGTAGAGGGGTAATTGGGTTAAGGATGTGAGCCTGAATGAACTGTGACTGGATATGATTATGCAAGAATTGGATACTATGCTGCATTGTAGTATAGAATAAACATTTTACAAGTAGTCCTCAGATTACAGTGGCAATTGAACCAGATTTTCCATTGCTACACTATGCAATTGTAAAGTGCAAAGCTATGTGACCATGTCACTCGGCCACAGCAGTCCCAGTAGTCCTTTTTATAGACATATTTTTATATATAATTATATGTAGATATAATTTTTTTAAATAAAAATAAAGCAAAAGGAACAAAACACAAATATACAGTACATACATTATCAAAAATACGCTATAAAGTATAATATGTTAGAATAATAAAGATTTATATTGTTAGACCTATGTGTGGTTAATTATCTAATGCAAACATTCAAATATGTGTATAAACTATATGATACACTAATATATCTTGCTTTTCTTAACCTATAAACTTTATAGTTCCAGCAGTTCTGGTTGCTGTCAATGATTATATGTGATTGTGACTTCCAATTTCCTGCCATCTTCCCCATTGACTTTGCTTGTGAGAAGTCAGGATGGAATTTTTAAAATTGTCATTTGACAGTAAGGACAACTGGAACTGCAAGGACTTGTTGTAAATATCATTCATTTGGCACTGTCTTAACTTTGAACAGTCACTGAATGAATAGTTGTAACCCAAAGACTGCCTATACTATTAGCCTTACCTTTAGTGGTTTGCTGCACTATCTATACAAGAACTAATAAGTCCCCTTTTCTCTTCAATAGGCTACTCATTGCAGAGCTCTACTCCCCTGCCAAGATACGCCCTCTGTGAAGTTAACATATTATGCGGAGGTAAGTACTAGACTGCTCAGTTCTGTAAGGGTACTTTGGAGAGCAAAGGATTTGTGAAACATCTTTGAAGCATCCAGATCTTTTCCCTGCAAATGGATGGTACATTCATATTCCTGCATATCCTGAAGCATATTTTATTAAAGTATTCCCCAATACTCTGGTAGGTAGGCACTCCATTTTGCAGAAATGCCTTCCTTTTGTACTAGGTTGGCCCAACATAATTGGTATAAGGTATGTTTCAAAATTGCATAGATTCCGCCAGATAGACTTACTTGAGGAAAGAAATAATTAAACGCTGAAAATATTTCAGTTAATCTTGGCATGTATGACCTGCTCTCCGTCCAGAGAAGGGGCAAGCCTCTCTGCAGAGCCGCATGGCTGAAGTGCCCCAAGCATTTTCTCCGCATTGCTCGTGATCGACTGCTTTTTGCAATTCTGCCCCTTCGCGGGCAGCTCTATGGCAGCTGCGGTCCCCTTCACGTCGGCTCATGAAGGAGGGGAATGGGGAGGACCAATAGCTGCTGTCGCCAGATGCAGGGAGGGAAGAACTCTGGCTCTCCTGCACAGCACGGAACAGCAGGCTACTCACCTCACTGCGCAGTGGCGGCAATGGGAGGAGTCACCACAGTCCCTGCCACTGCAGCGATCCTAGGAGGGTACCCTGCTTGGCGCACGCATGAGAAAGAGGTGAGAGAAAGGGCAGGAAAAAGAGAGAGAGAAATGAGAAAATGATAAAAGGAGAGAAATGAGANTCCTATTTTCCCCACAACAACCACCCTGTGAGGTGGGTTGGACTGAGAGAAAGGGGGACTGGTCCAAAGTCCCTCGGCCAGCTTTCATACCTATAATGAGACTAGAACTCATATTCTCCTGGTTTCTAGGCCAGCATTTTAACCACTACATCAAAGTGAACCACTAGTTCCAAAGGGCAGGCACCAAAGCTCTCTTCCTGGGTCCCATCAGATGACATTCCTTGGTAGATGGCACCCATGGCATGGTTGTCTTGGCAGATCTGATGAGACGGGTGTATGTAAATGGGGAGAAGCAGCATTTCAAATATCTCAGTCTTGTATCATGTGGGGCTCAATTGGGTATTACCAGCACCTTAAATTGTACCCAAATTTATTTGATATTTGGGACTCCTTTTCTTCTTTTTTTTTACATCAATCTTCTTTCTTCTTTGTTAGTGCTGAACATAGGTTTTTATTTTGTTATTTTGTTTTTGTTTGTTTTTGTGTTTTGTATTTTACCTTCTATGATAAAACAAAATAAATATACTTTAAAAAAAAGAATTGTACTCAAAAGCATACAGATAGTCAAAATGGCTTGCAGAGCAGAGATGTAATGTGTGCTGCTAAATAAATCTTAATTTTCATAACTTTTCTAGATTAATAACCTTGGAAGCACAAATGAAGTGACAAATTTGATCCCTAATCTGAAGGAGTTAAACCCTGATGTTGCATATTCTTCTGTTCCATATGAGAAAGGCTTTGCTTTATTGCTTCATCTGGAGCAGCTGCTTGGTGGACCAGGTATTAATTTATTATAAAACTACATGATTTTCTTTAACCAAGACATTCTACTATTGATTAACATATGTCATACTCACACAGATGTCTTCATTGGCTTCTTGAGAGCATACATCCAACAGTTTGCATACAAGAGTATAGTGACTGAAGACTGGAAGAATTTCCTCTACTCCTATTTCAAGGATAAGGTTAGGTGCTATTCTTATCATTCAAGATTTTACTTACAATTCAAACTAAAAGAATGGAATGAAAGGAAATGAAATCAAATTGTTTTATACACAATCCTTTCAATAAACTGCTTTGTTTTTTTTTATTTATCCAATTTGTAAGATGCCCCATTTCACCCACTTAAAAGTGACAATTTTAGTAGCATAAATATAGGTAATGAATTGATTAAAATAAAGACTAATTTCTTCAAAGTTGCTCCCCCGAGGAATATGTTGAAGCAAAATATCTCATTAGGAGGATTACAGGATAGGGATTTAAATGATAAAGAAAAGCAGCACAGTAATTTAAATTCACATAATATTCAGGATTATATGGCTGGGGATCAGAATACTAATACTTTTGAAGAAATATGTATAAAAAGTATCTTATTTAAATATTTATACCTGCGTGCATCCAGCAAAGTCAACCCATGCTTTAATTATTAATGACTAAATTGTATTATATTCATTATGAGTAAAATCTATCTCTGAGAATCTGGAGACGTGATGATTTCTTACATATTCAACTGCATTTAATTTGTTTTGGTGACTTTTTTTTTAAAAAGTGGGGTATGTTACTTTGTAAGAAATTGATACGACTTTAAAAGCAATTTTGGTTCACTACCCACATTTTGGCTAATAGGATGTCATTTTTTTCTAGGTTAATGTTCTTAACAAAGTTGACTGGAATGCATGGATGCATACTCCTGGTATGCCACCAGTAAAACCTGAGTAAGAGTTTTTCTCTAGTAGCTCTCCCCATCTCCTTATTTACAGGCAGAGCTTTTAGTTGTATTTTTAAAGCTATAGCTTAATAAAGATGGGGTTTTTTAAAATCTACTTTATCTGTTCCGGATCTTTTGTTTGTTATGCTGATATAAGCATTTAGTTGATTGCTAGATGAATATGGGACACATTGTTCTTTACATGATCCAAATCTACGATGCATATAGAATAGTTTTGTATAAAAATTAAAAATTATTTAAAAAATCAATATTACCAATATTGTTCAAAAATCAAGTACCAAATAGCTATGAAATATTTTTGAATTTTTTTTAATTCTACATATCTATAAGCAAAGTTCTTTATATTACATAACCTGCTACAATGCATGTAGAGCATTAGATATGTGCCAAAAATAAATATGTAATATATTTGCATATGAACATGCCCATGCGTAATTTTACATTTCCTGTTTTTTTCCCCATCAGATATGATACTACATTGTCAAATACCTGTGTTGCCTTGAGCCAAAGATGGATCAAAGTGAGTTAATGACTTCTAATGCACAGAAGGTTTTATGTTTTTCAAGTGTTATTTTAGTGTTCCACTTTGCATTGACTCCCACTTTCATAGTATAGAATTTAATACAAGATTGTTGACAACTTGCCTTTATACTGAAATACTGTTTCATAAACTGCTGTTTTAGACTGTTTTGAACATTATTTCTCCATATATAGATATGTACATATGTATGTATGTATGTATATGTGTGTGATAGTATGAGTGTGAGAGACATTAGCAATAGGTACTTGCTGTAATGCTATGATATAAAGTTGTTCATAATTATGTGGAAGCAAGGCTTTAATTTTCCTTATTGTGATTGGAATAAATTACACATTTGGTAGGAAGTACATTCTAATCTTGACTTTGCAGATANGTGCCTTTGCACAAAAAAGGTTGAAAAACACTGTCCTAGATAAAAAATACCAAATCAGTTTGACCCAATTTCATTTGTGAAATTTTCACAGTATCTTGTCTTTTGATATATCTTTATACAGGTAGCCACTTACGACCACAATTGACCCCCCCCAAAATTTATGTTGCTAAGTGAGACATTTGTTAAGTGAGCTTTGCCCCATTTTACATCCTTTCTTGCCACAGTTGTTAAGCGAATCAGTGCAACTGTTAAGTTAGTAGCACGGCTGTAAAATGAACCTGGCTTCTCCATTGACTTTGCTTGTCAGAAGGTCACAAAGGGGGATCACTTGACTCAGGGACACTGCAATCGTCATAAATATGGGTCAGTTGCCAAGTGTCTGAATTTTGATCATGTGGCATGGGGATTCTGCAATGATTGTAAATGTGAAAAATGGTCATAACTCACTTTTTCAGTGCTGTTGTAACTTCGAACAGTCACTAAATGAATTGATGTAAGTGGAGGACTACCTGTAAACTATTTTTTGTCCAGATTAGACCATAATATTAATCAGAATTGTCTGGTATTAATTTAGAGATTTAATTACCTCCTTTTTTTTGTTTGTGCAGGCTGGTGACAGATCATTATCCAATGTAAGTATAAATCTAAATTTACTCATTTATGAGGACTCAACTACACTATGAAATGTAAATGGATTTTTCTTACATAATCTTACATAAATAGCTTCAGATAATAGATATTATTACCTATTTAGTTGAAAAATATTCAATACATATTAATAAGAAAAATGGCAAAGGTTTATATTCTGTAGAATTCCATATAGAAATTTACAACTGAAGTACATTTAAGAGATCTAGGAGATTGTATGAGCATTGGAAAAACATAAGTTCTCCATCTTCTTCTGGCTGAATCCATTTGATGGCATTCTGCTTCATGTAATTCTGTACTCCGTGCTGTAGACATTAATTAGTAAAACAAAATGTGATTTTGCTCCTATTTGTTGTCTCTTTGAGTTAAAGAGACCACAATACATTTTTATACATTTCAGGTTATTGCGCATGAAATTTCTCATAGCTGGACAGGGAATTTGGTAACAAACAAGACTTGGGAACACTTTTGGTAGGTGAAATCCAAATGTTGGAAGAATTTTTGTATGTTTAAGGGTCTATCAAGAGAAATACTCATTTATCTGCTTCATATTCTAGGCTAAATGAGGGGCATACAGTTTATCTAGAACGCAGAATTGGTGGTCGGCTGTTTGGAGAACAATTCAGGCACTTTCAGGCTCTAGGAGGCTGGCGAGAGTTACAAAACACAGTAAGTGAATTATTTGTTTATGGGGTATTTTAATGTACAAGACTACAACCTTGACACCTGAGTCTGGATAGTTAACAAATGATGAATAAATAGTGCAAATCCATCTAAAACCAGTTTAAACTCCCCAAGCATCTAGGGGAGATTCAATACATGTATCAACACCACACCAGGAACACTTAGCCTGGTGTCTGTGGAAGAAGAACATGTCTTTAGCACCTTATGAAAATCCCGCAATCCTCAGTCATACGAATCTTTCAGGTAATCTGAAGATAATAAGCATAATAATGAATAGGAATGTGCAGAATTCCAAAGGTGATCTTCAGAAACTCCAGCCGTAGCACTTGCTTGCAATACCTAAAGCAGTTGTCTCCTTTGCTGGAATTGTGTATCAGGCAGCCACATGATTTGGAAAAAGCTGCTTTAAAATGATGTGCTGTGTTTATTTGCATGGCCTGGATTCTTTTTATGGCTAAAAATTTAAACCGTTGCCTAATTAAATAATGGCATTTATTTTGTACTAAAATGCATTGAACTGAACCGGTAGTCCTTGATTTACAATAGTTAATTTAGTGACCATTCAAAGTGGTGCGGTGGCCTAGAGGTGGAGCTCTCACCTCACAATCAGGAGGCTGTGAGTTTGACCCTAGGTAGAGGCAGATATTTCTCTCTCTGGGCACACTTAAGAATTTCTCTGCTGAACAAAACTCTCCATTGGCAACAGGAAGGGCATCCAGCCATTAAAACGTTCTGCTAGCTCCATTCAGAAGCCCAGACTCCATCCCACAAGGGATTATGGGGGTCGTTAAGTGAAGATGATGATTTAGTGACCGTTCAAAATTACAACAGCACTGGAGAAAGTAACATGATCATTTTTCACAATGCAGATGCTTCACAATGAACTCATAGTTATAATAATAGTTGCATTGTCCTGAGATCATGGGAATCATCTTTTGCAACCTTCTGACAAGCAAAGTCNGCCCACTTTTGTATCTCTGTTAGTAGTAAAATTTTCTAACTGCCCACCGGTTCCACAGTAATGGCGATTTTATGAAAACCTAATGAAAATGTTTTTAAATAATGCTATGAAATTTTTTTAAAAAGTCAATTAAATTTAAAAAAAGGAAAGTGCTTCAGTATCGGACAAAACCCTTACCGCCCACCATGAAAGCTGGAACGCCCACTAGTGGGCAGTAGGTACCAGGTTGACTACCACTGGTTTAGGTTGGATAGCAATGATAGGAGACAGATTATATGTGTCATCATTTCTATTCAACCTAAACAGATTAGCAGAGGGCTAGATACACACAGAGAGAGAGACAATAAATATATTGTGATACTTGAGATGCAGCCACAATTCCCTAATATTTTAAAATATTTTTTCAACCATATTTTAATTTTAGGAGATTTATAGCTGTCATCCTTTTTCGTTTCTCCATATTGTTTATGGAAGGTGATTAGTGGGGTTTTTTTTAAGCAATATGATGAATATTTTTTTTTGCTAGACCAAAAGGGTGTTATTGTCTGCAGTGAGAGAAGAAAGATGTTTTAGAAAAAACAGCTAAAAGGAAATTAGTAGAGAGCCCTTCCATGCCATTTCCAAATAAATCCATAAGACTGTATTGCATGCACAAAGAATTGTAGTTTACTATAGTGAAATTTCAATCTATTTCTCCATAGCCATATTTATTCTTGCATGGCTTTTTGCTTCTAATTTCAGCTTCATTTCAATGTGAAATAATACACCAGAGAAATCTGTAACAGATATTACTTAAATGTTGTGTATTCACATTTGGATTAATGATTAATACTAATAGGTCTACTATACATATGTTTGGGCTGAAGTCTAAAGGTTGTTGTTTTACCCTAGTTACCTCATGATCAATACTGATTTTGTCATTAGTGTAATCTTTTATATTCTTTCAAAATGTGCCCATACAGAAAATTACAACTTAGTGAAAGAAATACATCCTCTTAACTCTAAGCTCATTTCAGAATGGCTTCATTTAGAATAGAGTTTGGTAGTGAATTTGGGAAGGCAGACTAATTTATTCATACAAAACTATTGGCTTGTGATTGTGCATGCATACATTTTTATTACCAACATAACATAAGATTCTGCAATTTCATTTGATGATCGACATGTAGAAAAATAAAAAAAATAAAGTGCTTAGATAGGAGATGATGTTCCTCAACTCCAATTAGGGTTAAAGGTTCATATATCCCTGACAGAAGAACAGAAGAGATGAAGATCAAGCCAGAAGTTCACATTATTGCTTCCTTTTATCAACAGACCAAAAGAATGTCATTTTGTAGTACACAAAAATATGGTTGAGTTGAGTAATGTTTGCTCTATCTGGTGCAATCGGAGTTCAAAGCAACTCTGAACACAATTTGTTTTTAATGATAAATGCTACGAACTAAAACTTACGGTTCTTTGCACAACAAAAAAGGAAGCACTCTTAACTAAATAACTTTTGGGTTTTGCATATGTGCTTTTCTTGAATATATAAATTTAACTTGCATGGGATGTTTTAATTACTGGAAAATCATATTCACCAGGAAAAAGTTTGAATTCAGATAATTATTATCTCAGTCAAATGTTTGGAATCACTTGAGTTTAGGAAGCAGTTCTTTCAAGAACAAAAATGAAAAAAACAGGCTTCAGAGCTAATTTGGATAGCAAGAGGTTATTTTATTGTGCTTATTTAATTTACAAAGACTTGCATTCTTGTGTTTTTCATTAGATACGTGGTTATGTACATATGTTGATTTATTTGCAGTGGAACCTCTGGGTGGGTGGGTGGCTTTTTAGTCTTCTGATTGGGACAGTAGAAGCCAGTCAGGTGGCTTGTGCTGTGGAATGTAGATCAGAGAGGCGCTCACCCTTAAACTGAAGCTCTCTAGTAACAGGAGAGCCCTGAACTGAAGACAGGTATGCCAAGGTACACGGTGCATGTCCGAGGGGAATGGCTCACTGTCCCTTGTCAAAGTGGGACAAGCACAGTGCGATGGCTGGGAAAAGAAGCTCTGAGGCGTTACATCAAAAACAAGCCTGACAATGGAGGGTTTGCTTCAGTGGAAGAAGTAACATTCTACGTACGATGCTGCAAAGGACTTGGATTGCTGGACCATGATGATGCCTTGGAGGATGTCCTAGAGGACAATGAGTTTGTGGAAGTTGGTAAGCAAACTGCATATTACAGGACTGAAAATATCTTGTGTACATCAAAGGGAAATGATACATTTTATAAACTGAAATGGTCAAAAAGGGAAAAGATGGTAGGAAACAATATAAGCTGGTCTCCAGAGAAGCCAATGCCAGCAACATGTTTACCTTTAAATGTAAGATATTTTAATCACAGTTATTTTCAAATACCTTTAAAGCATTTTTACAAAGGGTATTCAAACCATGTATTTTCCTTATTCATGAACTGAAAGAAAATATATTAGGTCTAAGCTGCTGTTTTTGATCTCACATTCATCATAACATCCCAGATTTTGTCTCTGTGCTGTTTGTCCTTTATCATTCCTCCCTATCCATTATCAAGCTTTTGACAATCAGTTTTTGATACAGGGATTTGGTTTCTAGGCTTCACATTGGCCTTCTGCATTTATTGTTAACAATATAAATTCGACTGCTATTTCCATAATGCCCATCCTCACCTATATGGGAAAAGTATGTGCAAATAATAAATATTTAGCGTATGTCTGACAAAATTGTGGTATATGTGTCATTGCTATTAAAATAGCATAGAGAGCTGATTTCCCCCCAGGTTCTTCTGGGGCAGAGATGGGAGATTATGAATTGGCTGGGGTTTTTATTACTGGTTGTTTTTTTTTTAATTTAGTTGTTGCAACCTACTCAGAATGGTGCTCTAAGATAGATGGCCATACAAATCTTTAAAATAAATAGGGGAATTAGGAAAAAAGAAATCATAAAGAGACAAAGGGAAATGGCATAATAAGGTTTGGATAATTCAACAAAATGACTATGATGAAGATAATGATAATGATTTACATTTACTGTATATGCCACACAATTCCCAGTGGATTTAGTGTGCTTGATTCTGAATGTGCTGGGCACATTTTTTATGAAAGAAAGGTAACCAAGGAATGATTTATCTGGACTTGGTAATGAAGAAAATCTATGTATTCATGGGATTAATTTCCCTTTCCCTCCAGTGATACAAGGAGATATGATGTCCTCAGATTTTATTCCATCTCAGCCAGAAGGTGTTTATTTGTATCCTTTGAAAAATATCTCAGATTTATCTTTTTTTTAAAGATTCCTAGGTTGAAAAGATTTCATTTAGTGCATAATTATATCCTTTCTCTTGATGATAACAGTAGCCTAAAAGAAGTTTAAATGAACAAAAGTAAAATAAATGCTCCAAAGTATTCTTAAATGTAAACCACCATCTTGCCTTGTTTATTTTCCTTAGTTGTTATTTCAGATATAGATACAGATACAGATATAAAGAACCGGAACAGGTATGGAAGAATGGTGGCTTATGAAGAACTAGCACAGCCTTCATCATGTGATCAAATGAGTGATCATTACCATACACTAGTGGGAACTGAAATTAAAGTCTGCTCCATATATATGTTCCATAATTTGGAATATAAATCCAAATGTGTTTGTTTCCTGTTCTCTCCCTATCTTGGTTTTTTTTTCTTCTTTTATACGTTTTAGATGATAAATATGCAGGCTTTAGAATGCTGTTTTTGGTTCTCTAATAATAAACCACGACCCTAACAATATGGCATGCTTCTGTGTGCATGTCTAGGTTCTGGTCTATCAAACACAGTGGGAATTACTTCTGAGTTAACAGAAGAAGCTACATTCCTAATATTCTCAAGTGTAGTAAATTGGCTGATTGCATGTCCTAAAAAAAAGATGCTGGAACAAAGCATTGCAATCTAAGAGTTTAATAGTCTGAAACCTTGCCTTTTGGATATAACATTTTTTAATTACATTAAAATAGTTCCTACTAGTAAAATGGCTCAGTTTAAGATTATTCTTTTTTTTTAATAAACTGTTGTGTGGTTCTCCAGAAGGAAGAACAATATAAAAATTAAAAGAAGCAAAATGAAAGGGAAACTCTGATGGTTCCACTTCAATGCTTTTGATTGTGCCCTAGCATTAACAATAATCCCACAGATTACAGTTGGTTGTCATTATTGATGTCATGTTATTCTCTCTAACACAATTCTTTCATTCAGTATCTTTATTTAGATGGAAATAGTTTGACAACAGAAGATTTGGTTAATTTAGGAAAGGGGTTGTATAAAATCAAGGTAAATATCTGGAGAGATTTTGATATTTTTGCCCTTTACCCATAATTAAAACACAAACTAAGTAAGAACTTTTTTTTCCAGCTTACTCCTGAAGCTGAAATTAGAGTCCAAAAATCCAGAGGTGTTATTGAAACTATTATAAGTGAACAAAGAGGTACCATTGCTTTCATTTTATAAAACGATTTTCTGGGAGTTCAAACCAATATTTCTCTTCTTCTGCTTCTTACTTTGTACCCCTAGAACTTGAGAGCAAACAAAATCCCTTAGCCAATCTTGTTCTGAAACAAGCAAAATGTGCCTGTTACACACCCAAATCATGGCATTATGATAATAGAAATAGAACTGAGTTTGCATCTGCTGCCCTAATGCCAGATACGCTCAGTTAGGAATAAACACCACTTTCTGTAGAAAATGGGAAAACATATTTTAATATAAAATAATAAAAAGGTATTAAGACCAATCAGCTATGTTGCAATCATTGGGATAGAATGAAAGATAGAACGTGGGAAAGGAGCTGTCATGACCATCAATACAATAACCCACTTGTATGAAAAGTAGCATGAAGACAATGTTTCACCCGTTACTTCATCTTCTCAGATGTACTATTATGTGTGCCACATCATTCAGGACTGCAGCCAAAGGGGCTGCAGCAGGTAAATATGCACATGCCCAAGGAGACTGCCCTGGTTATGAAGCATTTTGAGAGGAAGAAAGCAAGAAGGTTGCTGCNTACCTGTATACAAATATAAATTAAAATTAAAAAACCAGAAAATCATGATCAGCAGAATTCATTCTACCTCAGTTCATGTCTTCAGGGCCTTCCTAAAGGCTGGGAGGGTCAGGGCCAATGTACGTAGGCCTTTATAGGTCATAACCAGTGCCTTAAATTGGACTTGGAACCAATGCTGCTCACAGAACTGGGGAGTAAAGTTTTCTGTTTGAGGACAACTCATGCCAATACATTCTATACCAACTGCAGCTCCTGGATGCTCTTCAAGGGCAACCCCATATATAGTCACTTCATCATTGAAGTGATGACCAAGGTATGAATGAGTAGAGCCTCTGGTTCAGGGACTGATGCAACTGGCACACAACATGGAGTTGCACAATGTTATTTTTTTTATTATGCCAATGTATAAATAGTGAGATATGATAGCTCAATGTGATATTATTCCATTCATAAACATGGAGAATGATGAACTCAGGCAAGCTTTTCGTTCAAATATTTCCTTCTTCCTTGTTTGGGTAAGCATAAGGCAAGGATTTACATTACAAATTAACCAGCTATTTTTTTAATATAGTAGATGTTAGTTTTGAAGGGCTCTGGGTATGCTAGGTAACTATCAGAACAAGCAAAGGTGAGGGACTTTCCTTAGAAATAGATTGGATGCCAAAAGAAATAATGCTAGGAATTGGTTACTTAACTTTCTTAATTCTGATGAATACAGTTCAGAGGCAAAATGAAGTTTTATAGTAATAATAATATCAGCTCTGAACTGCACTTTTCTACAATAGAGTGAGCGAATTTCCAGAAACACTGCTTAGAAACTGGCATTGTTACTTAGAAATAAAGATATGTTGTTGTGGTTTTTTCTCCCATTTCCTTTTCCTCCTTGTGTGTCCTTCCCTTTCTATCTCACACACACATTATTTCAAAATTTATAGAATCCTCTTCCAGTGAGCCACGTGAGTCGAATGCAGGAAATCTATGACTTCAATGCAACAAACAATTCCGAAATCAGATTCAGGTTCGTTGCAAATGTAGAAATAATATATTGAAATGGTTGCAAATCAAGTTTTTCTACTTAGTCCTATTGAATGTATACCTAAATCTCTCATGATGGAGATTTGTTACATGGGAACAAATATATAGAAGTAAGCAGTTGTTCAAGAATGAGAACATGACCCCTGGGAAATTTGAAGAAGGTGAAAGATGATACTTTTTGTTTTGTTTTGTAGTTAGGCTCCTTTAAATGATGAATTATATCTGGCAAAACCAGTTGCTTCGTTAGAAACTTTTGGAGATTTAATTTATTTACTTTGATGCCAACAAACATTGTTATTTAGACTATTAAGCTTTTGGCTAAGTAAGCCACTATTATACCTTGTTTCTCTGAAAATAAGACCTCCCAGATAATAAGGCCAATCGGGGGCTTTGAGCGCATGTGCTAAAATAAGCCCTCCCCTGAAAATAAGCCCACCCCGAAAATATTGCAACATAGCAGCAGCCATGAAGTAACCAAGCTCGTCACTTCCGGCACCTCAAGAATAATAAGACCTCCCCAAAAATAAGGCCAAGAGCTTATTTCAGGGGTCAAAAGAATATAAGACCCTGTGTTGTTTTATCAATTCACATTCAACCACAATTTCCTATTTTGGTCTTCAACAAGCAACATCGGGTTTAAAGAGATAAGAATGAACATTCCAACTGGGAGGAAAGGGGAAGGGAATGATCTATGGGCCTGACAGTCACTCACCTACATTTGTTAAACCAAGAATGTAGATTGTCCAACCTGTAGAGAGTGCTGCCAGTTTTTAAAATTCTAAATTTTGATTTGTCAGTTTGATTATTCATTGTCTATATGTTATGTGCAGGAGCCTTGAAGATTGGTTTAATTGTTCATGAAGCACTGAAAAAGAGTCTCTCACTGTCAATAGCTTGATTTGATGCATGTTGTAGAACAGGGCTGTCA